CAGCGCCGGCCCGTGGGGCGCTAGCATCAGCCGCTCATCGCCGCGCGCAGCCTCCTCCTGCTGCTCGTCATCCTCCGACTCGAGGGCGTCCGCCAGCGCGCTGCGCCGCACACCCCGGCGCACAGGAGGCGGCGCCGGCCGCACCTCGGCCGCCTCGGCGGCGCCCGCGGCACGGGCGCCCTGTGCTCGCCGTCCGCGCGGTCCATCGCCGCATCCCCATCCCCGTCTGCGGCAGCGCCGCCTGCGCCTAGGCCTGCGCCCGCGCCGGCCTGCTCTGGGACGGCGCGCCACCGCTCGTCGTCCAGTATGTGCCACCACCGCCGACCCGAGTAGCCGTCGTACTCGACCTCGTGCACGATCCGTCCGTCCCGCGTCCCCGTCCTCCTCCCGCGCCATGACGGTCGCAGGGTACAATTGTAACACCGCTCACTGTCGCAGAAGATCTCGAGGCGCGATCCGGTGGACAGGACAGTGTGGCCGTCGAGCGCCGCCCTGGCATCCTCGCGCTTTCGCTTCCGTCGCTTCGCCTTCGTCTCGGCTTGCTGCGCAGCAGGGTGTAGTTCGGGCCCACCTCCGCCACGCTGTCCAGCACGTGGACGGCGCTCGCCATCTCGACCGCGTCGTCCTCCGGCGGAAGCTCCGCGTCGCCCGCTGCCAATGCACGCCCGCTCGCTCAGGCTCACCCTCTCCCGCCGCCCACAGGTCATGCTTCATGCGCCGAACGAAAAGTTCTCCCACTCTTTCTGCCCCAAACCTAAATCGTCTCACTATTTACATACATAACCGCAAAATACCGCCGTGCCAATGTTGCCTATTATAATAAATGCGCTTGGGGCAAGGACGCGGTAAAACGGGCCATACAGTCTGTTGCGGGCATTAAGAAAACAGGATCCCGCGGCACGCCGCCGTTTCTAAGCCTTTCCACCCACCCCACCCACCCCACGCCGTGGTTTCTTAGCCTCGGCCGGCACCCCACAGGTGAGTGAGACGGGATCTAGGAATGTTTAGGTAAAATGACAATACGGAAGCGCTGGACCGCTCCGGATGTCGCCAGTCCGACTTCTGCCACCCACTTGGGATGACAGGAAGACGCACACACCTCCCATCCACACCGCCCAGAACACCGCAGACTTGCTTGCGCAAAATGACAAGTGCGCGCGCCGCAGGCTAATAGAAAATTTGAGCGGGGCTCCTGTTCACACTCGTGTGGGGGCCCTTTCTCTGGGCCGCGCCTGCGGGGCGCCGCGGTTTCTTAGATTTTCGCGGAAATCGCTC